CTTAACCTCATTAGTTAACCGGTGGAACAGATAATTCCACAGGAGATGGCTTTCCACCTACTCGGCAAAACCATTAAAGATGTGCAATGACTATCTTGATGTCCCCAAATTCATGACCATTTTTGTGTTAAGAAAGTAAGTGCTGGGGCTGGGAAGGTGGCTCAGTGGTAGAGCACTTGCCTTGCATGCATGAGGTCCTGGGTTCAATTTCGCAGCACTACAGAAGGAAAAAGAAAAAAGCCGGAAGTGGTGCTGTGGCTCAAGTGGTAGAGCACTAGCCTTGAGCTGAAGAGCCGAGGCACAGTACCCAGGCCCAGAGTTCAGGCCCCATGACAGGACCGCCCCCCCCCCCCCAAAAAAAGAAAAATGAAAAAAGAAAAAAAGAAAGTAAGTGCTAGCCAGGAGCTGCTGGCTCACATTTGTAATCCTAGCTACTCAGGAGGCTGAGATTTGAGGATTATGGTGGTTCAAAGCCAGCCTGGGCAGGAAAATGGGTGAGACTATCATCAACTGCCAAGCAAAGCCAGAAGTGGAACTCTGTCCCAAGTAGTAGAGCACTACCTTTGAGCAAAAAAGATCAGGGACAGTGCCCTGGCCCTAAATTCAAGGCCCAGGACACACACAAGAAAGCAAGAAAGTAAGAGAGAGAGACAGACAGACAGAAAGGAAGAAAGGAAGGAAGAAGAAAGGAAGAAAGAAGCAAGAACAATGTTTAACAGTCTGAAAGGGGGCTGGGAAGGTGGCTCAGTGGTAGAGTGCTTGCCTTGCATGCATGAGGTCCTGGGTTCGATTCCTCAGCACCACATAAGCAAAAAGAAAAAAGCCGGAAGTGGCGCTGTGGCTCAAGTGGTAGAGTGCTAGCCTTGAGCTGAAGAGCTGAGGGACAGCACCCAGACCCAGAGTTCAGGCCCCACAACCGGACCCAAAATAAATAAATAAATAAAATACCCCACGACCAGACCCAAAAAATAAATAAAATTAAAAAATTAAAAAAGTCTGAAAGAACAAAACTCTTCACTACAGATTTTTGTGGAAACACATGAACACAAACTTATTATGATTAATTGACCTCAGAAATTGGTTTAGTGGGGGCTGGGAAGGTGGCTCAGTGGTAGAGCACTTGCCTTGCATGCATGAGGTCCTGGGTTAGATTCCTCAGCACCACATAAGCAGAAAAAGCTGCAAGTGGTGCTGTGGCTCAAGTGGTAGAGTGCTAACCTTGAGTTGAAGAGCTGAGGGACAGCGCCCAGGCCCAGAGTTCAGCCCCCATGACTGACCAAAAAAATAGAAAAAAGAAAAGAAGAAATACACAATCACAGGAGAAAGCGAGACAATAATATTGACAATAATAAACATCTGTCCAAATGTAACAATGAAATTCCCCTCTATATTATTCATGTAAGCTAATAAAAAGAAAAGAACTACAAAATGGTATCCATTTTTAATGAATAGGTTGTTAAATGTCCATGAGATTCCTGCTTCAAATTTCAGGGGCAATGCCCATGAAACAGTTCAACTTAGGTTATTCACAACTTAATCGTTTTGCTGTAGTCAAATATGTCTGGTTTTCATTGCTGTGGCACTTGAAGATGAACTGCTAGAGTTTGCTGATAGAGCCAGGATTAAGAGAATGACAAGGCTGGGTATAATCCAATTCAGAATGCTGAGATTTGAGTTGCAGTTCAAAGCCACCCACACATACAATTTTGAGACTTTTATCTCCCACTAATCAGCAAAAGCAGGAACAGAAAGTATGGCTTAAGTAGTAAAATACCAACTATGTACAGAAAAAGCTAAGCAAGAGCCTGAGTCCCTGAGTTCAAGCACAAGTTCAAGTCCCTGATACCAGCACAAAATAAACAAAAAAAGAAGTAACAAAAAAACATGCACACCAACCTAGTCATTTAATAAAAGTTCAGGGGCTGGGAAGTTTGCTCAGTGGTAGAGCGCTTGCCTTGCATGCCTGAGGCCCTGGGTTCGATTCCTCAGCACCACATAAGCAAAAAGAAAAAAGCCGGAAGTGGCGCTGTGGCTCAAGTAGTAGAGAGCTAGCCTTGAGCTGAAGAGCTGAGAGACAGCGCCCAGGCCCAGAGTTCAGGCCCCACGACTGGACCCAAAAATAAATAAATAAATAAAGTTCAGATAATAAAAAGTGCTACAAAGTGTTGGAAAACATAGCACACAGTAAAAAAGAAACCCAAGTAACCAATCTTTTCATTTCTTTTCTTTTTTCTTTTTTGTGTGTCTTCCAGTCCTGGATTTGAACTCAGGGCCTGGGTACTATACCTGAGCTCTTGTGCTCAAAATTAGCCCTTTACTTCTTGCAGCCACAACTCCATTTTTTTGTGGTGGTCAATTGGAGATGAGAGTCTCATGGACTTTCCTGGTGGGCTGGTTTTGAACCATGATCCTAGGATCTAAGCTTACTGAGTAGCTAGGATTACAGGCTTGACGACGCCACCTACTCCCAGCGTCCAGTAACCATTTCAAAGTAACATATCAAGGTAAGGTGCTAGAGCCAGAGGCTAGCCAGCCCAGTTTCGCAGGAAAGTCCACGAGTATCTTATCTCCAATTACCCACCAGAAAACCAGAAGTAGTGATGTGGCTCAAAGTGGTAGAGCACTAGCCTTGAGCAAAAAGAGCTCTGGGACAGCAACCAAGCTCTGAGTTCAAGCCCCACAACCAACAACAAACAAATCAAGAAAACCAAATTGCCTAAAGAACCATCAGATTGTAGCAATGGACATTTTTATTGTATATTCACTTATAATCATTAATCTTCACTTTAAGGAGAAACTGAGGGGTTAATAGCATGGCCCAAACAGATAGACTGCCTGTCTAGTATTTATGGCCCTGTGTTCAAACACCAGGAGAGAGAGAGGGACAGAGGGGAAGAGAAAAGAGAAGAAAGGGGGAGAGGGAAAGTGGAGGAGTGGGAGAGAGGGTGATAGGGAGGGAAGGAGGGAAGGTGAGAGGGAGGGAGGGAAGGAGAGAGTGGAGAGAGGAAGAGAGCGAGACAACTGAATAGTTGGATATAACATTTTTTCCTTTTTTTTTCCTTGAGAGGCTGGTCTCGAATTAATAATTCTGCCTTATTCTCCAAGGCACTGGGAGTATAGGTATGCACTAAAACACCCAGCAAGGTAACTTTCAATATACTGTCTTTTTCACTGAAGATGTCTTTCTAAATTAAGAGGGCAAGGGTTGGGGTTAGCTTAGAGGAGGAGCACTTGCCTAGCAAGTGCAAGGCTGTGGGTTCTCTCCTCAGCTCTGGGGGCGGAGGGGGGGGACTATAAAAGAACAAAAGAGAAAAACAAAAGGCAATGAAATTAAAGCATTTGAAACTTTTCTTCTAGTATCTACTGACCATTTATGTACATTTGCTGGGGATAGAAACTAGGATTTCAAGAATGCTAAGCATATGCTCTCCCACTAAGCAATACCCAGCCCTGAATTTTGTTTTGCTTTGTAATAGTATATTAAATATTTCAACATATGCTAAGAATGAAACTGTCCCTGAAACTGTGTTTAATGCCTTATCTCCAATGTGACTATATAGGGAGATAAGGTCTATATATGGAAATAAGGTCTTTAGTGGGTAATAATTTTAAGTGCGATCATAAGAACAGATGTTTCCAGCTGGAAGCAGGAGGCTCACACCTGTAATCCTAGCTACTCAGGAGGCTGAGATCTGAGGATCATGGTTCAAAGCCAGCCCGGACAGGAAAGCCTGCGAGACTCTTATCTCCAATAAACCACCAGAAAACCGGAAGTGGCGCTGTGGCTCAAGTGGTAGAGTGTTTGCCTTGAGCTGAAGAGCTGAGGCACAGCGCCCAGGCCCAGAGTTCAAGCCCCAGACAGACAAAAACAAACAAAAAAAACACAGATGTTTCTAATCAGATAGAACAAAACCAAGGTTATGGCTTTTAAAAATAATGAGGAAGTTTAACACTAACCATTTACAAGCCAGGCATGGTAGTACACGACTATAATCTCAGCCTTTCTGGTGTGGCAAGGCAGGAACATTAGTTTGAGGCCACCCTTGGGCAGGTGTGGCATCTACAACAAGTTCTGAAAGTAACCTAGATGGACTTGGTGATATTCTCAAAGTAGATGTCAAGGAGTCATCTGCATTGTATTCAAGTTTGCATTCTGATATATTAGCACATAACTGCTTATTAGCATTTTGAAGATCATTCATGACCATAAGATTTAAGACTTTAAAATTTACTTTTCTAATACATTATGCATCAAATACCCTATCTTAGTAATTAATGAATTTGGTAGACAATCTGGACCTCATTTTATCATTCCCAAATATATCATGCTAGAGTGACTATAATTGTGAATATATTACAGAAACTCAAGAGGCTAAAAGCAGTAATCGTTACTTAAAAAAAATAATTTTACTAATTCTTTTTTTGTTTTGTTTTGTTTTTGGGTCCGGTCGTGGGGCCTGAACTCTGGGTCTGGGCACTGTCCCTCAGCTCTTCCGCTCAAGGCTAGCGCTCTACCACTTGAGCCACAGCACCACTTCCGGCTTTTTGCTTATGTGGTGCTGAGGAATCGAACCCAGGGCCTCAGGCATGCAAGGCAAGCGCTCTCCCACTGAGCCAACTTCCCAGCCCCAATTTTACTAATTCTTAAGAAGCCAAAATGAACTCAAGACCAAAGGAATGAAGAGCAAATAGTGTAGAGGTGTGCATCAAAAATAGTCTTCACATTCTTCTGCAATTCACCACCATCACCATCAAAAAAAGTCAAAAACCAAAAAAATTCCACCGTCTGACATTGAATCTTATCTTAGATGTAATCACCTCACAAAAATCTACCTTTAAGATCATCCAAAGTTCACGTTCACTTAGTCATAACCACTTCAAAAGACAGGGCAATTTCATCCATGCACTGACAAAGTTGAAAGCATTTAAAAGTTCCTTAAATACTGTTTTTTTCTGGATCTATATTTCAGCCGATTCTTGGGTAATCTTTTAAAGGATACACTCTGTCATTGCTGCAATGTCCAGTTTCTCAATATCAGGTGAGCCAGGGCAACATTTCTTGAATTCTTTTCGAAGATCAAAGAAGGAATAGAAGCATTCAGGTAGTAATACGTTCTGAGGAGTACAAGGTAGAGATTGTAAACGGAACTCAAGTACTAACAATTAAATATAAGTCTATCATACTGCCACCTGAGCTATGACCCAGCCCACAACATTTAGAAATATATGACTCATCCAGTGCATTATATGTATGGAAATGTCACAATGAACTCTACCTTGTACAATTAATACATGCAAGAAAAAAAGAACAAAAAAAGACTGTAGCCAACCATAAATGGCTCACACTTGTAATAATCCTAGCTACTCAGGAGGCTGAAATTTGAGGATCATGGTCCAAAGCCAGTTCTTGCAGTAAAATTGTTAAGACTCTTACCTCCAATTAACCACCTAAAAGCCAGAAGTAGAACTGTGGCTCAAGAGGTAGAGCGCAAGTCCTGAGCAACAACAACAAAAGCCCAGAGTCCAATTCACCCCGAGTTCAAGCCCCAAGTTCCATAGACACACAGACTCTGTGTAGGAGTAGCTTTTTCTTAAATATTGGGTCTAATTATTATATTAGTTCCTGAATACAAGCCTTACCAAAAAAAAAAATCTTGTTTTAACAAAATAGACTGGAACATTAGTGCTATTATTCATCCCATTCAAAACATTTCTGACGCTATAACACATTTGGGTTCTTACACTTTCAGCCTATAATTATTTTAGAACATCTGTGTTTTTAGCTGTCAGTTGTCTCACAGATGCATAAGTTTAGACAAAAAGTTAACTTATAATATTTAGTAGAGTTCTAACTACTGTGTCCTAGTAATATATACTTTAGTATTGTTAGTTTAAAATGGTAAACACTTAACTGAAAGATTATTTTGGTCACAAACAACAGACCACATTCGTTTTCCTGCACACTATTTTGATTGTGCCTTGGAACTCAAAATGAGACTTTAAAATGTGCCTCACAGGTCAGGAGCTGTACATCAGTGATAAAATACTTGCATAAGCAAAACTTTGCATGGGTTTGAGCCTCAGCAACAAACAAAAAATAAAAAGACTGCTTAAAAATAATTAGTACATATAGATTATTTATTTTAATAATTTATTGCAAGTTGTTGTTTTGCTTTATTATATAATTATTTTATATTTTTTGTTTAGAGATAGGATCTTCTTAAGTAGCCTAGTCTGGCCTCCTGCCCTAGCCTTCTAAGTTCTAAGATCATAAGCATGTACTACTATACCTAGCTAATTCTGAAAAACAAAATTTAGATTTAGTAACTAAAAAATATTTTGTATATATTTCTACTCACTTGTTGGTTCGAATATAAAGGAAATAAAGGCTTTAATACTTATGAAATATCTCTGCAATATCTCATCTATCCAGCATATTCTTTGGATCCTGAGATATTGGCCTTTTGTGCTATATTTAAAGCTACAGGCTATAGTTGGGTGCTAGTTGCTCAAGCCTGTAATCCTATCTACTGTGGAGGCTGAGATTCAAGGATTGCAGTTTGAAGCTAGCCTGAGCAGGAAAGTCTATGAGATTTTTATTGCCAATAAACTACTCAGAAAAAGCCAGAAGTGGGGATATGGTTCAAGTGGTAGAATGCTAGCCTTGAGCAAAAGAAACTTAGGGACAATGTCCAGGCCCTGAGTTCAAGCCCTAGGACTGGCAAAAATTAAAAAAGAAATATAAAAAGAAAGGCAGCTCAGTGATGGTTGTTCTCGTTTGTATTCCTAGTTATCAGAAGGCTGAAATCTAAGGCTCATGGTTCAAACCCAATCCAAGCAGAAAAGTCCACGAGACTCTTATCTCTAGCCAGCAAAAAGCTGAAAGTGATGTAGCTAAGTGTTAAGAATATCAGCTCCGCAGTAAGAAGGAATCAAGTGAGAGACCTTAAGCACCCTAAACACCCAAACATATATATGCATACATGCATGCATACATACATACACATACATACATACACACACACACACACACACACACACACACACACACACACACGATGTTTGTAGTAGTAACTCCTACATACAGTGGTAAGAAATCCATTTACATAGCTGCATCTATTTAAAATAGTGAGCATCTTATTTACTACTTATAAAAATGTTTAAGGTACATTAAATCATAATCTATAGAGGTCTGTAAAAATGCTTTTCCTATGCATGGTGACTTGTGCTTGTCATCCTACCTACCATGAAAAGAATGAACAAAAGGAAGGATCAGAGTCAAGGCTAGCAGGAGCAAAAATAACTAGTACAAAGAGATCTGGAGATGTGACCCAAGTGGTACAACACCTGTCGAGCAAGCACGTCTCGTTCTAAATTCAAACCCCAGTACTGCCAAAAAGGAAGGAAGGAAGGAAGGAAGGAAGGAAGGGAGGGAGGGAGGGAAAGAGGGAGGGAGGGAGGGAAAGAGGGAGGGAGGGAGGGAGGGAAGGAGGGAAGGAGGGAAGGAGGGAAGGAGGGAAGGAGGGAAGGAGGGGAGGGCAGGCAGTTTTCTAAAGAAATCTGGAAGAATATATCCAGAAATGTTTATTTTAGAAAAACTTTTTTTGGATAGGCACCAGTGGCTCAGGCTTGTAAATCTAGCTACTCAGGAGGCTGAGATCTGAGGATCATGGTTCAAAGCCAGCCAGAACAGGAAAGTTAGTGAGATTCTTATCTCCCTCCAATCAGCCACCGGAAAACCAGAAGTGGCACTGTGGCTATAAAGTGGTAGAATGCTTGTCTTGAGCTGAAGAACTCAACTTTTTTGTGCTCTAGTCCTGGGCTTGAACTCAGGGCTTGGTTAAGATTTTATTCCTCTCCATATGTTTTTTGAGAAATAAACTCTCGTATATCTCATCTCTATTTCCGGATCAAAGATACAGTAACTGATCTAAACCTTCCATAAAATTATTACTAAGGACCTTGTAAAAGGCAGAGAAACTTAAGTTTCTCCTTTAGACTTGGTTTTTTCTTTTTATTGTTTTCTGGTTTTTGAGCTGAACTACAGAATCCAGGCTGATTTCAAACTCGGATCATCCTACCTCACCCTCCAGAGATCTGGAATTACAGGCATGAATCAGCACAGCTGGCTTCTCTTTCAGACTTCAATTATACATTTAACTAACTCCCCAGGTTTCCCTACTTCAGGGACTGAAGAGAAAGATACTATGCCCTGGCTCTATTTGTCTACCTTATCAATTGTCAAACTCCAGCTTTCACTGCAAAATTTTCCTCAGTTACCTAAATGTATTTTCTCTTTTCAAGCTCAGCAACTGCCTTTTTGTTTTACTACCAAAAAAAAAAAAAAAAAAAGCTACAGTCCAAATTAATTTGCATTAGCAGTAATGACATGTTAACTATGATTGGCTAAAGTGGGTAGCTCGCTCTAGGCTGTTCTACAGTGTTTACGTGTTCTTCCCAGTGAGAGAATTCACATTCTGCCTAGGATAAAACTGCATTTTATCACTCCATAGTCTCTTCCAAATCAGGAAAGTTAGCAAAGGTGAAAGATAAGTACAAGCACATTGATGGACTTGGTTTTGAACATTTACTTAAAGTCAAAGTGAAGTGCACTGTAATTAATATTTAGATGTGATTTAGACAGTCTTGAATGGGGATTTTTTTTTTTTTTCCTGTTCATGGGGCTTGAATTCTGGGCCTGGGCGCTGTCCCTGAGCTCTTGAGCTCAGGGCTTTACCACTTGAGCCACAGCACCACTTCCTTAGGCAGTCTTTTTAATGAAGTTACTAGAAATAATTTAATTTAAAAGATTAAAAGATTTACTTGAGTACTTTTGCTCCTCCTTTTTTAGAATAAACCATTTTCACAAATGGAAATATAATTACATATTAAAATATTATTTTCCTTCCACACTTGGGGAGAAGTTCAGACCCTTCATTAGCTCTGGGAAAGAGAAACAAGTACTTTGAAAAGTAAAGTTCATACCTACACACACACAAAAAAGGACTGTAATGTCACCAAAAGGTATCTATAAAGTTATAAAAGTACTGCAATCCCAAGCACCTGTGTGAAATAGTCATGTATTTTTAATTGTGATAAAACACTAAATATTAAACATTTTCCCATATTACTAATTTACTGTACCACTAAACACCTTCCCCAGACCCTCAATCAACAATTTTCAAGTGTACAATTCCATACAATTAAGTACTTTCACTTGGATGTATTTGTGTGTGTGTCTGTGTGGCTATGTGTGAGACCACTCATTCTTGGGGATAGAACCCAGGAATTTTCACATTAAGTGAGCTACAACTTTAACCCAGCACATTAAAATTTTCCAAACATCACATCCACCCTTTGTCTTCCCATACTGAAATTCTGCACCTATAAGACGGTTATCCCTCGTAGGCAGGAACTCATAAAAATATAATAAGAATAATTTGAATAAATCATTTTTTAAAAAGCCTGCACTCGCTCGCCAAAAGCCCAATCATTTTTCCAGAGGCCAGCATAAATAGAATAACTTGGATACTTTTATTTTAAGCTTCCAGTCATTTCCAAAAAGTATGGGTTTTTTTGTTTTTGTTTTTCAGAAGCCAGCACTCACCTTCTTGGAAGCCTCGGGATGCAGGATTTGCCTGACATGAAGTTGTCCATCAGTACAGAGACAGAAGGAAGTTCCTACCCCAATATTCAGTTCATTGCTTACTGACTGGTTAAACTGTAAGAAAAAGACGTCCACAGGGAAGGATGCAATAGACACAGGATTTATAAATTCGTCAATGTCGCACTTGGCAATAACCTGGGAACATCGTGGTGAAGACGCTAAAGTGGGACACCAGGGCTGGCAAAAGATGACCAAGAATCCTCTCCCATACACTGGCCAGCTGGCTTTGGGAAGGCCGCTTTCTCGAGGCGTTCCCTCAGAGTAAGTGCATAAAGCCTTTGGCCCTCATTTCCACCGCAGCCCGCGCCCACCGCCTGATCTTTAGGGTACATCCGTCAAGACCGGCCGGGACGTCTTTGTCACCAGCAGGTTGCTTTCACATTACATCATCATTTTCTGATGTGACTTTTTTTTTTAATGTTTGGACGTGCCAGGCTCAAAGTATAAATTTAAAATAAACAAAAGTGGGTAAAGACCTTCGTAACGGCCGGTCACTTTTCTTAGAATAGACCCTAGAAATGATCATTTTCTTCCAGAATTCCAAACTCGTGTGCGGGGCAGAGGCCGCGAGCGTGCGGCGCCGCAGGTACGCCGCGCCCCGCCCTACCGCGATTCCCGCACTCGTCAGCACCCCCCCCTCTCCCGGGGAGAAGCGTTTTTGAGGTCATTTCAAGCCCAATAAGGGGATTCCAGCAGTTCCCCGGTGACCCGGCCAGCAGCCCTACGAGTTCCGACCTGCAAACCCGCCCTGGGATTGGATCGAGGCCACGGAAGAACGACGGAACCGAGCCTTTCTTTTAGGAGTTCAGAAGACGGAAACCAGGCGGGCTTTCGTGGTGGGAGCACCGAGCGCGGGGCGAGTGCGCGCGGGGCGAGTGCGCCCCCGGCGTGCGCCCGGCGCCCGAGCTGCGGCCCCGCCGACCCGCGCGCCACGGGGTCGAGATGCGGGGACGGGGACTCCGCGCTGCACCCACACGACCGGTGACACGCGGCCCTTCTACCCCCCCTCCCCAGGAACCACTCAGGACGCAACTCCACAACGAACAAAATTTGGATCCCAAATCTTGGGATTTGGGGGGTGGAGACACCCCTCCCAAAGGACGTCCTTCGGGGCCCGCGAGGGTGGCGCCCACCAACGCCACGGGGAGTCTTCCCACCCCTGGGACGGGGGGGGGGGGGGGCGCCCCGAGAGGGCGTGGAGCGGGCGGTGGGGTCGGGCCCGCTCGGAACCCGGGGGAAGGTGGCGCGGCTCAGGGCTGTCACCTGTCGGAGGGCTTGGTCCAGCTGCGGCGCGGAGGACAGGCTTTCGGCGTCTATTTTAGTTTCTTCTTTACAATCCTCCGTCAGTTCCAACTGATCCGGTCTAACTAGTACTTCGTGCAACTGTCCCACCTCCAGCAGGGAGAGAAGGGTCAGTTTTCCCCACCGTCAATTCGGAAATGCCCTCCCCACCGCCCTCTCCCGCCCGCCTGCGCCCCGTGAGGGGTCCAGCTGCGGAATCACAGCTCGTTAGACGCCCGCGGCTCCGGTGGCCCCGGGCCCCCTCCCCCGGTGTCTCGGGAGCCCACCCCCGTCGCGCCCGCGCGTCCTCGGACCCGCCGCGAATGCAGCTCGGCCGCGCCTCGACACCTGGGCCAGGTTTCGGGAGAGTGAAATGGCTCCAAGGCGGGTGGAGAACAAGTTTGGTTTTACTCAGGATCTCGGTAGGCCTCGGGTCCGGCCGCACAAGCGGGCAAACCAGTCCTTCCCCCCCCCCCTTTAAACCTATCCCCTCTCCGACTTCTTCAAAAACGTCTTGCCCCGTTCCCAGTCGCTGAACAAAAACGTGGTGAGGTTACCTTCTTGTTCGCCAGATCCACGACTTTCCATAACAGCAGAATCAGCTCCTTCTCATCCGAACCCAACTTGGCTCCGGTGGCCCCAGCAGTGATCCCGAAAAGCACCACCAGGTAATCCGGAGACGCCGTCATGACGATAGGTGGGGAGGGGGAGAAGGGGGGACGGGAGGAGGTGAGGAGGGTTGGAAGTGAGAACGAGAAAACCTGTGCTTAAAAAAAAAAAAGTCCTCTTCTAAGAGAAAAAGAAAGAGCGCCCACCCCCCCCTCCTCGCTGCCGCCGGTGCGAAAGGCGGTAACCAACCACCCAGCCTACACCTGGCCCGGCCGGGGCTCCACGCCCAGGGCAGGAAGGGGGGTGGGAAGGAGGGCGCAGGAGGCCAGGCCTTTTTGTATTCAATTGCCCGTGCGTCGCTGCTGAGCCAGGAGCCCGGCTGCACCCCCGGGAGGCGCGCAATGGCTGAAAGCTTTTCTGTTTGGGGATGTGGCTCTACCTGCCCGCCCCTTCCCCTCCCCCACGTGGTGCAGGTAAGAGACACCTGGCGGCGCCGGCCCATTGGCTCCTTCAAACCACGACGTGGCGGGGGGTGGGGTGGGGAGGGAGGTGAAGGCCGCCCGGGGAAGGGAAGGAGGAGGCGGGAGACAATGGCTGGATGAATGGAGAAGGCCTGGGAGAGAGGGCAGGAAGGGGAGGCCAGAGGGGCGGGGAAGAGGTGGCTGCCACTCGGAGGGTAGATCGAGTCAGACTGGGAGAGGGTGAGGGGGGGTCCCCGCTGGAGGTTACCGGGGTTGTGTGTTAGGGGGCGGGGGTGGAGGGAAGGTTGGCTGTGGGGAACGACGCCCACGGTTCTGGAGGGTCGAGCGCAAAAGGCCAGGCGCTGGGAAGCGAAAGGAGGCCAGAGGTGAGGCCCGGGCCACCGAGCCGCGCAGGGTGCGGCGCCCAAGAGGGCGAGCCGCGGTGGGAGGGACCGGCCAACGGCAGCCGGGAGGTGGCTGGGGCAGTTGCCGAACCCCGGAAAAGCCGCTCCTCTGCCTAACACACCTTGGAGTGCAAACAGCGGGGGGAAGTCCAGCCGGCCCGGCCCTTCCCCGGATCGGAGCCGGGCGCACGCGCCCCCCCCTCCCCAGCACGCGACGCGTCCCGCGGCGGAGAGGGGGTGGGGAGGAACCTCTCCCGGGGCGCCGCGCCGCGGGACGCCCGGGGCTGGACGCCCGGCCACCTGGTCACGCCCCAGGACGCAGTTACTCACCGCGCGCCCCACCGCTGGGGACCCCCGAGAGGAAATCCAGGCTCCTGGCTCCCTGCTCCCTTCTCTCTCAAGTCCTGTAATTGCTACCTGTTTGGTTTCTCGCGGCTGCTAGTTGGAGGCAGCAAAGCCCTCCTTCAGGGCTGGGGCGCTCTCACTTTGATTTGTCTGAGGCCCGAAATGAAATTGCTCCTGCCTTCGTCTACCTAATAAAAGTTTGCCTAAATCTGGCCAGACCCAACTTTGTTCCTTCACTGGGCGTTGGAATCCGCAGGCCCTCCGTTCCCGCCTCCTCTGGGGGAGTGTGACTTCCCGGGGTCCCAGGTGAACTTGCTTCTCTAGCTCCAGCTTGGTGGGCGCCGTGGCCGGAGCGTCGGCCAGGCCCTTTCTCGCCAAAGCCACCAAGGGGACCGCCAGGAGCTAGGTCCCGTTGACGGTGTGGAAGGGTAGTTGTCCTCCAGCTTTCTATTTCTAACTTGGTCTGTTCTTGGGGAAAGAGTGCGTCAGAAGCGTTACAGATTGGACTCAGGTGTTCGGGGCCTTGGCATTCGGGATGTGGAATCGGCCACACACACACGTCACGGCAGGAACCCACTCCCCCGTACAAATGGGGAACGGGTCAGGCATGCCGGTCAGGGGAAGCGGGAGACCCCCGCTTTCCCCGTGGGGGCTGGGCCGGAGGCCGCCGCCACCCGTTTCCTGGTAGGACCAGGCTCGCCAGGAGGCGGAGCGGCCCGCGGGGCAGGTGGCAGCTCGCACTCCCCACCCCGTCCCCGGGGCGCACCCCGGCCCGGGCCCAGCTCCCACGCTCGCCACGCGGCTCGGGCCCGCGCCGGCTCTGGGTATCACTCTGGTCGGCGGCTTGGTTGCTGGGTCGCGCGTTGGTTTCCCTCGCTGGGACTTCAGGATGCTCAGTCACAAATCGTCCTAGGCTGGCTCTCGGCGGCAGCCGGGCCCCGCCCTGGCCTTGGTATCACAGAGCCAACCTAGCCAGCCCTTGGCGTCGCGGGGACAGGAACTGGGCGCGGAACCAGGCCGTGAGGGACCTGGAAAAACCACCCAGATTGCATTGCAGTGGGCGAGGCTGCTTGGAGGAGCCGGTTCCCCCGAGCCACGTCCCCGCGGGGCTTTGTCGGTGCGCACGGTTCCCAGGTGCGCTACTCCATCTCTCTCTATCCGGCGAGAGAGGTGCCACCTCCAAGGGGGTGCGGGACCAGGTGCGTGACTCTGGCGGGTACACCTGATCACCCGTGGCAACTGGAAGGCCGGACTCCAGGCTGGGTATTGTTGCCGAAAAAGTGATCACAACAGCTCAGGAAGAACAGCCCCGCTTTGGTGTTTGGATCCATTTGTAGCGCTTTTGAACAAACTACAGATTTATTGAATCCACGTGTTTACTAGAGGATTCCACAGCGTGTTATCCAAATTGGAATCTTGAGTCTCACACCTGGCCTTCTTTGCACTTTCTTTTCCCCTGTTTAAGGAAATTGGATCACTACCTTCTGGTTTTATTTATTTAGTTAGTTTGTGCAACTAGGTTTACAAGAATATTGTTGGAATTGTTTTAGAATATATTTTCTTGGATTGGAAAAGAGCCTGGCATCTTAAGTTGGACTCAACAAATATTTGTTGAATGATTGAAATACACCCACCATTTTTGCAGCTCTTTGTCTTCTGATCCCAGGGCATAGTTCAACACTGTAAGAATGAGATTCTCAAAATGGGAGTCCATGGTTAATTTAAATTTCAGATGTTTGTAACGACTAGGTGATGATGGTTCACAATTTTGTTTTATTACATTAAACTTGTAAAGAGAAAGAATGGCAAAGAAGGAAATCTCTGCAATGCAAGCGAATTGTTGTGGCTACAAAAAATGTTTTATACCTTTCACCAACATCTATTTTGGTGGTTGGCGGGAGATCGAAGAACTACATTTTTCCTCAAGTCTGTACTCAAGATCGTGCCTAAAAAACTCCAAACCAACAAAGAACACCAGGGACTCAAATTGAGAAACAAGGTACAAAATAGAACTAACTTGTACTCTAAACATATTAAAGTCTTACAAGATAAAGCCTGAAGACTGTTTTGGATTAAAAGAATTTAAAAAAATGATCCTGAACCTGGGTTTTGTTTTGTTTTTGTAACAAATGCTAATGAGACAATAGGAAAAATTCGAATAATATGCATACATTATCAGTGATAATAGTCTATCAGTGATACTTTCTCAATTTTTTTTGGGGGGGGGGTCGGTCATGGGGCTTGAACTCTGGGCCTGGGCGCTGTCCCTCTTCAGCTCAAGGCTAGCGCTCCACCACTTGAGCCACAGCACCACTTCCGGGCGCTACTTCCGGTTTTCTTGGGGTTTATTGGAGATGAGTCTCAATGGACTTTCCTCCCTGAGTGGCTTTGAACCTCAATCCTCAGAGCCACGCAGCCCCCGGCGTCTTTCTCAATTTTTTGTAACATCATCATGGTGCAACAGGATATTCTTATTTTAAGAAAGTAGCCAAGAGCTGGGCACTGGTGAATTACAAATTAGGACTACACTGGATTACAAATTAGGGTTACACTGTGATTATTACCCAAGTCTGTAAACCTAACTACTCAGGAGGCTGAGATCTAAGGAGCAAAAGAAAAAAACTAAGAGAAGATCCCAGGTCCTGAGTTTAAGCACCAGTCCCAGAAAGAAAAAGAAAAAAGCCTAGAAATATTTAGGCATAAACAGGAATCACACTTACAAATTACTCTCAAAAAATTCAGACAAAACATTTATTTGTAGATAATGAAGGTATGGTAAGATGGAAAGTAGGTGATTATACTATTCATAATGGTTCTATAAGACTACAGTTGTTTCAAATTTAAAAGTTAAAGATTTTAATGCCTTTGTTATGGTGCATAACAAGGCTCTGAGTTACAACTCTTTCTGTGCTAACTTCTAATAAACTGAATACATTTTATCTTTTCCTTAGTGAATGAAAGAAAGATTTAAAAAATGATCACTTTTCTATATAGTAACAATTTCATGTGCTTTAAACATGTTAACCTTTCCTAGACTATAAGCTCTAAGGTTTCATTATGATTCTTGCTTTGCTGCTCTTTATCTTCTTTACCTTTTTTTTTTTTTTTGTAGGTAGTAGGGTTTGAACTCTGGGCCTGAGTGCTTTCCCTCAGCTCTTCAGCTCAAGGCGAGCACTCTACCACTTGAGCTACAGTGCTCCTTCTGGTTTTCTAGTGGTTTATTGGAGATAACAGTCTCACAGACTTTCCTGCCCGGCTGGCTTTGAACGCGATCCTCAGATCTCAGCCTCCTGAGTAGCTAGGATTACAGGCATGAGCTACCAGTGCCCAGCTAATCTTCTTTAACTTCTTTAGCCTTTTCCTTGTCAGTTTTCACAGAGCAGCTCTGATGCTGAACAGAATACAAATGTGTCTGGTAGGGCTCACTTTTCACACAGTGCTACCTGTGTGTCATATTTTTTTTATTGGAATGAGTTACCTTTTTTTGTTACCATTATAGAATTAACATTGTATTTGCTCACTCTTGTTTGTTTTGAGAACTCTGTATCTTTTTTTTTTTTTTTTTTTTTGTCTTTTCTTGGTACTGGGGGTTGAGCCCAGGATGTTGCACTTGCTAGACAAGCGTTTTGCCACTGAGCTACATCTCAACCCTATATCATTCTTAAGTTACATGAACTTAATTGGTTTTTTCATAGCTGTAAGAGAAGATCCTCCAAATGTAAGTCAGAAGTATGAAATATTCTCAAATTATTCAGTGATGATAGCTGACCATATTTGTGGAAAAACTGGAATCTTGGCATTTGGGAGGTAGAGGCAGAAGGATCCTGAATTCAAGACCACCATGGACTACAAAGCAAAACCCTGATTCAAAATAAAATGGAACAATGGAACATCTTATTAAAAAACATCTGAAGGAAGGACTGAAACCCAAAATTCTGAAAGCTATACATCTGTGATACAGTTCAACACAAAATAATTTTCAATAAAAAGGTTCAACATAAGCCAAGCTCAGAGAGACAAAGAGTACATGTTTTCTCTCATATACAGAAGCTAAATCTAAAATATACTGGGACCTGATAAATTATACAGGACTCTAGGCATTCACACACAGTGAGACTAGAGGATATTCTTCGGGGAGGAACACAAAGGTGCAATGCCTATGTGCTTCTGATCATATAAACTGTAACTTACTATAAAGCCCAGGTTGACCTCTAATTTAAGATCCT